AACGGCACCATCAACTAATTTTGAGCGTTCAATGATGGCACTTTCAAGCCTTGCAATCGCTTCATCATCTTGGCGCAATAACTCCGCAGCACGCTTTTCACGTCGTTTCTCCCTCAATTGCTGCATAAACTCTCAAGGGAAACAAAATTTACAGCTCAGAAACTAAACAATAATTTGATAACTCCAATATTTTCCTAGTTCAGGGCTATGGATCTTAAGGCAAGTGAGGAAAGGAACCATAGTAACCGGATAATGCATCCAAGAAAGATAATTACCCTACGAGCTAGTTTTGCAGGTGTGTCACCAGATTGAGAATCATCATCTGCAGGGGACAGACAGAAGAAGACCAGATTAGCACTTAAGCAAGAACCATATGAAAATATCTGGTTAGAGAATCGTATCTACCAGAAATGTTGTCATCTTTTCCCTTAGGTGCTTCCTGCTTGACCACTGTAGCTGTTTGGTTTGGCTTTGAAAAAGTAATGAAAATCCAAACTTACAAATAATCAGCAATCACAAGTTGACATAAGACTTGCAAAAAATGGTGCACACAACATAGTGTTTATCAAGAGATTCAACCAAAGCATGACAGTCATGAGTCATCCTCACCTCAGAAGCAGCATTATCCTTGACTGAAGTATCTACGCCAATAACTTTCCACGAGGCAGACAAATTGTTTTTTCTAAAAGAATCAAGACTCAAAGGTCCCAAATCAGCTGTGCTGGATCTGATAACATCAATGACCTAAAAAGAGATTGCTCTAATTAGCACATCATGTGATTGAAAAGTAAAACAAAAACCTATCAACCATCACATATATGTGGTGAATTAAAATACACGAAATTTCCAATTAAAATATGAGCAATCTGTACTTACCTCTTCTGAGAAAATCGATTTCACATGTTGCAAGGCCAGCCGTTCTCTCCAATTCAAATGCTACACCAAACCAACCACCAGCTTTTTTTTAGATTTACACAATGTGACACAAACAAACAGATCATCATATCTAAAAATAACGATAAAGATAGGAGAACAGTATCTACCTGCTTACCAGAACCAACTGCATTCAAATTTTGATCTGCATAGCAACATTAATGAATACAAAGCACCGAAGCCAAAGCTTAATTAATAAAGCACACTAGCTATTAACTCATTGCCACTAAAGTACCTAAAAAGTATTCATAACTGGAATTGGAATTGGAATTTTTATTTTTATTTTTATTAGCAATAAAACTAAAAATAATATTTCATAAAAAATTAAGAAATAAAATAAAGATCTGGTAAACTAACCAGTAGAAGAGCTTGTTTTATAGAGTCCTCGACCGACAAAGAACATCAACGGAGACAAAACGCAGAAGAATATCACGACTACAATCGGCAATCTAGATCCACCACGTCGGTTCTTGTTCAAGCCGGAAATTGAAAATCCCCGCTTCAACGCCATTGCCTCCTATCAAAACCTAAAAAAAGAAGAAAAAACACATAAAAAGGAAAGAGAAAGAGAAAGCGTGTCGTTAAAGGGAAATGCAGTGATTTGATACTATTATTATTATTCAGGAAAATGTGAAGTGAATTTTATTGTTTCTATTAAAAAGGAAATTATCAGTACATGAGGAAGAGCAGAGGGAGAGCTTTAGATTTCTTTCTGTTCGCTGGGTATCTAATCTAATTTTCGTTTCTTGACGCGGAGGAGGAGGCTCTGTAATTATTTTATTTTCTTCTTCTCTCCCCTCTTGTTGAGAAAGATTAAATAATAATAATAGTAGTAGTAAGAGTGCGTTGGGACTACGATGTCGTTTTTTCATCGGCATGCCGGATCTTCCTTCTTCTAACGCTGGGACCCAACACCGACGCTAACAGTACTGTTTTTTTGAAAAAAAATTAGAGTGCTCTTAAAATAATTTTTAATGTTTAATTTTATATAAATAATAAAAAAAATTATGATAGATCATATCCCATCTATCATAATTTTTTTACCTTTTCTTTTATTTTTATGCTTATTTAGAATAAATATTAGTAATTACTCTAGAAGTAATCTAGATTTTTTCTTATCCTTTATCTAATTGGTTATATTTTTTTTTAACACCAATGAGAAATGGTTGATCATTTAGCTTTGCTTTTAAGTATAAGCATGATGTTTTAAAAGCTCTAGATAAAGGGTTGGAGAAGGAGTTAGTTATGTAATATGAAAAATATTATCATTTTATTTATCTTCCATGAGATAAGTTTGTATTATTATTTATTTTAAAATGACATGTGTTTCTTATTTTTGGAGATTACCTAAATCTAAAATTTTTATTTTAAATTTATATTAAAGAGTGATTTTGGATTTAGGCATAAAAATAGTCTAATCCTCACTTTGATAAAAGACATATATTGGATTTGATATAAATATGTATTTGCCAATTCAAATATTTGATAAATTATTAATGATTGAAGTTGAGAGCACTTATCATCTAATTCTAGATACACACACAACCAACATACCACAGTGAATAGAAATACCAAAATAATATATTGTGAAACACAAATATACAACTACCAATTATATTATTCAATATTCAACATTCAATGAGATGGGCCAATAATTGATAGCCTAATCTTGGATTGAGTTCTAAAATAAAAGGCCATGAATATACTGTAATGGACAAAAATAATATATCAAGAAACACGAATGTATATATACTAATTTTATTATAAAATAGTCAATATTTAAAGATAAGAACCAATAACTATGAAATCCAATTCTAGATTAATTAAATATTAAAAGATAACATTGAAAAAAGAAATTTTAATTATACAAAAGAATTCAAAAAAATATCAATTAAAGTAATGAGGATCAAAATTGTAACAAAAAATAAATTTTATATTTGATTAAATGGTAAATTAAAAGGTAAATTCAATTTTGCAAAGGTATCAAAAATTAAAAGAATACAAATCAAAATTAATATAAAAATAAAAATAAATTTTTAATGAAAGGATGAAATTAAAAAAAAAATATTTTTTATAAAAGGTCTAAGAAAAAAATAATGAGTTTTTTTCTCACTTGTAATTAATAAAATATTTATGTGCTCTAACATTTTATTTTATTAAATTCAAAACCAAATAAAAAGAATCATAAGCTCAAAATATTTTTTTAAAAAAAATAATAGTTGAATAATTAAATTGTTGGGCAATGGGTTGGCCATAATCTCTCTATTTAGAGAGACGCACACACTTGTCGATTGCATGACGATAATTTTCTTATATCATCAAATCCCAAGCCCTTATTCCATTGAAGGAAAATCATATTTTCATAAAATAAAATACATATAATAGTACCAAAATTCTCTAATCAATCTTACACGAAAAGTAATGATTAATTCCAAGAGAAACCAAAAGTTAGAATAATAATAATAATTAAAAAAAAAAAAACAAATCGAGTGGTCGCAACTCTAAGCCCATGCACGCTTCTTTTTTTTTTTTTTACCATGTTGGAGTTAACCACTGCCATTCTAAACACATGAATGTCAATATATCAATTTTCATTGTCAGAAAAGGCATCCTCTCTCATCAATTATCTTCTCTCTCAAACGTAAATTAAATAAAACATCATTTAAATATAATCGCTACAAAAAAAAAAAACCAAAGATTTAAATATAAACACAAAATATAGCAACAAATAAAAAATCCCATTTAATGACTGTCCTTCCAAACAATCCAAAACTTCAAGAATGCCATTGAATGAATAATAATGATCGATAAAACCACATTTTGTTAATGGATAAAAAATGATTTTTGAAATAAACGCTGCTGCTGCAATAATTGTTTTCTTTAACTTAGACTCTTATTGTATGGGTTTAAAAAAATGTTTTTTTAAAAAATTATTTTTTATTTTTTTATTAATTTTAAATTAATATATTTTTAATATTTTTAAATTATTATGATATGTTGATATCAAAAATAATTTTTTAAAAATAAAAAAAATATTATTAATATATATTTTGACATTAAAAGTTATTTGAAAAACAACCGCAACCACACTTACAAACAAATTTTTGGATGTCCGTGAAAAATTCATTTTATTTTGAAAAGTATTTTTAAAATTGCTGAAAAATAAATTATATTTTGATATTTGACAATATCATAAAAAATAAATTATGAGAAAATAAATTATTTTCTAATGTTTAAATAAAAAATAAGATAAAAATCATTTTATAAACTTCATATAAAATAAGTTGAGAAATAACACATTTTTGAGTTACTATCTTGTTTTAAAAAGTACAGTTTTTATTTTTATAAAAACAATTTATTGTTTTAAGAACATTGATAATAAATTTGTTTTCCATGATATCCTGATTTTATAACACAATTTATATGATTTAAAATATATAATTATTGTATAATGTAACATATTTTATATTCAAATGTATTTTTTAGCATTAGTATCTAAATTAAAGTATTATAGGTAATAATATATCAAATTAATATACATGTGTATTAACATGTCCTAATATATTATTTCCTATATAAATATATTAGTAATTTTTTTTTAATAATATTATATTTTCAAAATTTTATTAATATATTATTGTTTTTATATATAAAAATAATAAATAGTTGTACCATTTTAGTTTTTAAATCTTTTATTAAAAATATTTTCCGCTTTTTTAAATTGAAAAACACTTTTCTCCATCTAAAAGTTATTATTTTCTTGATTTTCTTAAAACAGGAAACTTCAGCAACCAGTTTTTCATAATATAATCAAACATGAATGAGCTAGGAAAGTACTTTATAGAAAAACACTTACTAGCAAACAAGACCTTAAAAACAATCTACTTTTCAAAAATCATAAAATATCTTGAACTTCCAGATTATGCACGATGATAACGACTTACATTGAATATCATGCATAAATAGCTAGCCTTCACAGGCACCTGGATTTTAAAAGACTGCGTAACCGGACACCAGGCATCAGCTGCCCAATCGTTGGACAAATTTTTAGTCAAGAGCAAATATCATACAAATAATTCTCGGCATGTAAAGTAGAGCAAGCTCATTAACAACACATCATTTTCAATCTCTAAAGCATTTTTCTAGCTGGTAAGCCTGTAGGATTCTGGACAGGGTAGCCATTCTGAGGTGTAATTATTGACCTTCAAGCAGATCCAATCGTTTATGCCAAAATTAAATCCAGAACACAGTGGAATTAAAACCAGGGAAAAAAAGAAAATGAACTAAAACCTCATTCCTGGTAGATTCACAGATCTCTAAAGCCTAAACACTTGGAGTACCTCCGAACATGGCAGAATAAGATGTAGATGTGATGCAGAGCACAAATTCTGTCATTTATTCTTCAGATTACCCTACATACCATCTTGTCCAACCAAAAATGTTGAAGCTCTTTGCATACGATAATTATTACTCCACTGTCTATCCATCCCTTTCTGATAATACAAAATAAGAGGATCTCAGGTCCTGCTGCTCATCCCATGCACCTCAAGCCTACTGAAAAAAGAAAAAAAAAATAATGTGCAACCTAATTACCTCAATTTGACATAATAGAGCCTCTAAAAAATAGCCACATCCAAGTAATCCCCAATCTGCATAAGCGAAATACAAGTTAGTGACATTCAAATATGGTTATGGTACAGTTTGTGAGAGAAGGTCATCTTGGTTTACCTGGAAGCCAAGCTGAGCCAATGCTTTGTTGTCATCGAATTTCCCATTTCTATGAGAATTGGTCTTGCCCACCTTCATCAAGCAATGTAGAATTCACAATCAGATGAAAAT